GTTATATATATATATATATATATATATATATTTGCACACAACATATACATATATACCACCATGTCTTAATATTCCAAGGGCTAACCCCCATACACTTACTGGGCTAGCCTTATGTTACATTATCATGACTAGTAATAATTTTAAAATAATTGGTGCTCATTTAAAGCACACTTTATTTTCATTCATCATGTCAATTGTACACAATGTGCAATAAAACACTTTTTTTTTTACAATTGGCACCCAGTGGGGAAAATCTTTTTTTGTAAATCGCAGCCTGTTCATTCATAACTGGGGACACAGTACTATGTGTCCCCAGTTATTTACAAACACCGGAGTGATCAGACGGTGTTTGCTCTGCACAGAGGGAGATGATTGGAGATTGGGAGATCATTGATATTTAACGACCCCCCGCTCGGTCACGCTACACAGAGCCGCTGTCATCCAAAAACTGACAGGATGACAGCGGCTCAGAACAGAAGACGCTCAGCCATCCTGAATTGAGGCCAGCAGCCGCTCGTTCCCGGGACCCCCCCGACCCCCCCCGACGGTGATTTTTTAATGGATCCCCGCTGCCACAGACCCTACAAGCAGTGGGGATCCATGGAGTCCCTCATTTAAAATTAGCGGTCATCAGCGGCTTGTGAGCCGCTGATGACAGCTATTAATTTAAAGGAGACAGTCTGCTGAACAGTTCTACTATAAGCTGATGGTCGCTAAAGCGACCATCAGCTTATAGTAGAACTGTAAATGCCAGGTCCGTACGACGCACTTTTGTAGCTCCGTACGATGTACGTCCTTGGCAGCGAAAGGGTTAAAGCCAAGGTTTAATCTGTTTAGATTTTGCCTCCCCTCCTACATTCCTTCCTTTATCAACATGCTAATTTTTTTTACACACTTTGTTTTAGACCCAGTGACATCACAGTGTGTCTTGGTTTCTCTGTGCAATGCAGGCAGATCATGGATGGTGGGAGGGGCCGTCAGGGTATTCTACATAGCTTCCTGAAAACATCACGGCATCTTACTTCAGTACTTCTTTCAGGAGACCTAAGCCTTGATGCAAGCAGTAGGCTGGTTCTTAGGAGGAGTTATACAAATTCTTAGGCAGATTGCGCTAGGTAACACCCACATAAGATGCTGAACCTTCATAGTTGAAAAGACTGAAATCCAGTGAACCTAATCTGTGGGCCTGTAAGGCTGGGGAGGAAAGATCTAGAAAATGCTAGATGTTCTCCACCCAGGAAATGGGTGCAGCCTCTAATGCACATTGTGAGAAGCTTACAGTGTGCAGTGAAATCATAATTAGCAATTTCAAGTACAAGAGAGGGGCCTGCACAACTCTGCAAGGCTTCAGCTTTTAGTGGTAAACTCTATGGTTAATTCTGGCAAAACTCACGTGACATGGCTGGTGACAAAGATTATAAAATTATAGATAATGAAAGAGTATTATTGTTCTTTTGTGTTTACAGTAAAATGTATTTTTCATTCACTAAACTTCATTGCTGGTTTAACCAGCATTTCTCAACCTTTTTTCAGTCTCAGCTTGCTTCAAAAGTATGCAAAATCTTAAGGCACCTCAGCCTAAAATGTAAAAAATGACGTGTTCCCTCCCCAAAATCCACGCCAGACCTTTTATTGTAGTGGCTTGGTATGAATTTTAAGGGGGAACCCCATGCAGAAGACGTGTATCCAAACCTCTGTCATTGTCCTTAGTGGTGAGACAAGTTGTTTTACATGCTGGTTTGTGAGTGTGCCATGATGCCTTTCTACTGTTCCATTGTTCAAAGTCCATTTCGTGTGCACCTTACTGTATAACTGGTAACAAATTGTTGAGTGCGTTTGTCGTTTGTTTTGCTTTACCCCATCAGGAGCTCCCCTTTATATCCCTAGACACACTGGCTCCCTTCACTACATACAGACTAAGGCCACGTCCACTAGAAACCCGGGCAAACAGAAGAAACCAGAAATCTTAAAAGACATAGCCGCGCTCTTGAGCGACTGTGGTGGAAAACTAGGTCTCTGCAAGACTTTACCCTGTTTAAAGCTGCCCTCCTTAAATATAATTCCTCCCTCCGTGCTGCCAAACATACGTATTTTGTCACTTTCATTAACACTCTCATCCAGCCCTCGTCAACTCTCTACTATGTCCCCTACTGACCCCACCCACTAACTCATTCACTGGCCAGGACATTGCCATTAATTTTATAAATAGATACAACAATGCCGACAATGTTCTTTTCCCCAAAAATGAAAATGAATGCAGCCACGAGTGAGCCCCCAATATATAAAATATATTTGTTTTTGGGTTTTAGTTATCCTTTAATGGTCTAACTATTATTTCTTTATGAACTTCCCCCACTTAGGGGTTTTTTGTATACACTATCCACAGATTTTCAATAGTATTTTAGCCTAGAGATTGTGAATATCATCCTCATAGCATTCATTTCTTGAAGTAATTTAAGGTGGGTTCTTAGATAATTGCCATGCTGGAATATCCAGTCTCTTTTTAATTTCGGTTTATTGACTGCAGGCTTTGTTGAAATGTTAAATCTCTATTCTCCCATTGACTTTCGTAATGCTTCTTGTGCCACTGCCGTCTGCACAACCCCCTAGTATAATAGAGTAATTCCCATAGTTGCTTTACAGTTTGGGGGGGGGGGGGGGGGAATTTG